ATAGCACAACTTTTTACTGATTATCAATTTTGGATATGGAGTCTCATGTACTTTTCTTCCCTGGCTGGCTTTGAACTGTGATCCCTTAACTTCTTATCTAGCTATCACAGGTGTGAGCCATCAGTACCCAGCATAAATTAGTAGTAGTAGTAGTGGTGGTAGTACCGGGCTTTAGAATGTCAATTCTGGCACAAATTCTCTAACAGCTGAGCCAAATGCCCTATACTTAAAAACTTAACATTCTTTTTCACTTTTTGATATTTGGTGGTGGTGGTTTAGGGGGATTTGAACTCAGGACTGATTGGAGCACTTGCTAGGCTGGCATGATATTCCAGAGATACACCTCCAGCTTTTAAAGATAAATATTTTTCTATAACTGCCTGGTACATCCATTTATTTTATTAAATAATTTGAGGTAACATACTCCTTGATAACCTTTGGTATAAGATTTTCTCATTTATTTCTATACAAATATAGAATAGAAATATCATTCAGTCTTTTCTCTAGATTGGTTGATTGTATTTATTTCTGATACAAGGTCTGTGTGAACATGCACCTCTATACACTAAGGCACACTCAGAGGTAATGGAACTGCTGTCTGTAGATTTGGCCTTATAAATAGTAATTCTGATAAATTCAATTTTCTGTGGTTTATAAAGAAAAAGGTGTAAATTTGTATTTACAAAATTGTACATACTATATTGTTGAATGTGTAATGGCAGAAGTTAGGATTTTAGTTAGAAATAATTCTTTTGCAGTTTTGTTTTCTGTTGCCTAAAATTTCTACATTTAGCTCTGCTACTATACATTTCTAATCTTATTTCCTCTTTACTACCCACCTATTTTTAGTGTCAGGGGCCATAAGATTTATTCCTATCTTGACAGCTCCTGTGGCATTGCATCTTGGGTGAAATGATAGGTAGGATGAACCATGAACAAACTGGAATTTAAGCAATAACTTAATTATACTTTTAAAAGGCTGAAAACATACAGATATTTCCTATAAATCCAGACTAAGTGTATTTCCCACTTAATCTCCCCAGCAGATCTCTAAATGTTCCCATTGTGTCTAGCGCCAAATAATTCTAAGAGAAAAAAATGTAATTGGAAGAGTCTAGCAACTCAACAAAGTTAAAATATTTTTTAAACTAAATTTTGTAAAAACATATAACCAGGTACCAGTGTCTCATGTCCATAATCCTAGCTACTTATGAGGCTAAGATCTGAGGACCATGGTTCAAAGCCAGCCTGGATAGGAAAGTGTATGAGACTCTTTTTTTTTTCATTTTAATTTTATTGACAAGGTGGTGTACAGAGGGGTTAGTTACATAAGTACAGAAGTGGGTACAGGGCTGGGAAGGTGGCTCAGTGGTAGAGCACTTGCCTTGCATGCTCAAGGCCCTGGGTTCGATTCCTCAGCACCACATAAGCAAAAAGAAAAAAG